CCCCATGTAAGAATGCATTATGTACATCCATCTGATGCAACTCCCAGTTCCTAGCGGCTGCCACAGCTAAGAAGGTTCGGATTGTTGTCATTTTGGCCACAGGAGCGAAAGGCTCATTGTAATCTAACACCTCAACCTGTCTATTCTCGAGAATAACTAGGCGTGCCTTATGCCTTTCAACTGTCCCATTTGAATTATATTTAATCTTATAAACCCATTTACTCCCTATTGCCTTTTTCCCGAAAGGTAGAGTTTCCAATGTCCAAGTACCATTATCCTCCTGAGCCTGGATTTCCTTTCTCATAGCTTCTCTCCATTTCTCACTTTTCATTGCCTCAGAAAAGCTGGTGGGCTCGGCTCCTACAATGACTGTAGCCAAGAAAGCTTGATGTCTAATAGAGAAGTTAGTACATGTCACATAATTTGCTAAGGGATAGGGAGTCGTATCTGAGGACTTTGATTCAGAGTGGGCTTGAGTGTGAATGGGGTCTTTCAAATACCGAGCAGTGTAGGTTACGTAGGGCTTTAATAGAACAGACGGCATGCGATGTCGATGTCCCCTACCAAGTTGCTCTTCTGGTGCTGTTCGTAGTGTTGGATCCACACTAATTCCGTCCTCACCGCCATTGATTTCTACTTCCTACACACTTTCTCCATCTCCTTGCTCCTCCTTTCTACCATCATCATTATTTTCAAGGCTCCCCCTACCACAAATATCAGCTGTATCACTCCCCATGTCTTTATTTCCTCTGTGGCTGTGAAAAACATCATCATCAACCACGGTATCAGTTGGTGCAATGGCTGGGCCAAGGTTGTCTTCCAGAGTTGCTTTTGTATTAGCGGCATATGGAAATACATTCTCATGGAAGACTACATCACGGGAGACAAAATATTCACCGCTTTCAACATCATATACACGCCAACCTTTCTTTCCGTAGGGATAACCTACAAAAACACTTCCTACTCCTTTCTCCAAACTTATCCTTGTCTTGAGGACTCCAATGAGCATAGAAGAGAATCAAATACTCTCATTTGCTCGTATCGAGGTGGCGTCCCGAACAGTACCTCATACGGAGTCTTCCCGCCAAGTACAGAAGAAGGTGTCCTGTTTATCAAGTATCCGACGGTTAAGACACACTCCCCCCAAAAATCAATGGGCAAGCCTGCTTGAAATCTCAATGCTCTCGCAACATTCAAGATATGTCTGTGTTTTCTCTCCACCCGACCATTTTGTTGCAGTGTCCCAACACACGAAGTTTGATGCAGAATGCCATGAGTCTCAAAGTATGATTTCAAGCTTTTAAATTCTGTTCCATTATCACTTCGAACAGTCCTGACTTGCTTGCCAAACTGACGTTCTACCATGGCACAAAATTTCTCAATAATATGTGCTACTTCACTTTTTT